TATTTTTCAGTATGGCATTGTGAATGCAAAATTTATCAAATATTACCGAACTGTGTTACAAAAGGTTGTAGTTGAAACGCAATTGGTTTCCCATAATTACGCTAAAGGGTTTAGCCGGATACGTATGACGAGTCGGCCCCCAAATGGGAATCGATATTGAAACTTATGTTTTAATATCGACTTGATGTTCAAACACGATTTATGTACTTTTCGCGACCGACTTCCGCTTTGACCTTGAGATAGAGAGCAAAATATCCGTATGCTTGACTATTACTGAATGTGATATATCTCTAAAGCTAATTAAGATAAAGAAGTGAAACTAACGCGAGGTGTTAGGTTACATTACAGAGTATATCACATATATTTTTTTATAATTTTTAGAATAAAAAAACACATTAAAAAAAAAAATCGTGTTTTTTTTTCTGAGTTCTCTGTGACTTACAATCACGAAATTAATATATGTTATGCTCCTTTGTGTGCTCTATTACCCATAAAAATTGCGTGAAAAAAAAGTTGGTGCAACACAACGAAAAAAAATTATATGTGATTTCTGTCTTATGGTATACCCCTGTATTATAAGGTTTTCACATTACATCATTGTTTTTTTTTTCGAAATTTCACATCAGCTTGTTTTAAAACATAAGTAACTAGTCTTAAGAGATGGGATAATAGTTAAAAAAGAAATGAAAAAAAAACAGCCAGTGTTCAATACTCATTATTATTACTTTTTCGTGTCTATTAAAATACAAGAAACAAAATATTAATCATCGTCACTGTTGTAATTAATTACAATCGGAACACTTTGAGTCGCAAATAACTTAGTTAGGACCTCAGCAGGACGTACGATTTTGGACAAATATCATCGATATGATAGATAATAAATAATAGCTGCTACATGAGAACAGCATCCCACTGTACGTTTGCCATTGGGGCAATCACAGCAATAACGAAGAATACTATTGTAGTCATTACCTTCGGAAATATAGTGAATGTAAATTCGATAGACTTTTCTATTTATATGTCTTGATTTTACTTCTGCTTTGATGATATTAGGTGCTGATTTCACATATTGTACTGAGAGATTATTTTGATCGTCCATTATTTCGGCCAAGTTAAATGCTGCACATTTAGAAGTAGAAGCTTTTTTGTTAATATATGGGATAAGTCGACACTTCTTACAAAAAATATCATTAACTATTACGATTTTATTCAAACAGTCACTAAACACTTTAGCTTCTTCTTCATTCTTTATAATTTTTTTATAACCTCCTGGTTATCTTGGTTATCCTGGTCTCCTGGAATCTTACACAGGTACTTGTTACAATTTTTACACTTTCTCGACATTATTACTTAATAATGATTTGGTTCGATAGTTAATAATTTCAAAATGCTGATACAAAATACCTATGACAGAATTTGAGTCCCAAACTGCCTTCTTGTGTAATACAAATGACTGCTACTTTAGCTAAACAAACGATGCAGTAAACAGCTCGATAACAAGTTCGAACTTGTTTGTTTATACACTCACACTACAAGGCGCGAATCACATATAATTTTTTTCCGTTGTGTTGCACCAACTTTTTTTTCACGCAATTTTTATGGGTGATAGAGCATACAAAGGAGCATAACATATATTAATTTCGTGATTGTAAGTCACAGAGAAGTCAGAAAAAAAAACATGATATTTTTTATTTTTATTTTTTTAATGTAATTTTTTATTCTAAAAATTATAAAAAAATATATGTGATATACTCTGTAATGTAACCTAACACCTCGCGTTAGTTTCACTTCTTTATCTTAATTAGCTTCAGAGATATATCACATTCAGTAATAGTCAAGCATACGGATATTTTGCTCTCTATCTCAAGGTCAAAGCGGAAGTCGGTCGCGAAAAGTACATAAATCGTGTTTGAACATCAAGTCTATATTAAAACATAAGTTTCAATATCGATTCCCATTTGGGGGCCGACTCGTCATACGTATCCGGCTAAACCTTTTAGCAGTTAAAACATGTTCGTTCCATTGTTGCCTATAATGTAGTGATGTGACTCGAGCCACTCGAGTAAATTTTTAAAACATGAACTCAATGCAAAAGGTATTTCCGAGTCTTTATGCATTCGTGTTATCGAGTTGATTTTTTTGCCACCAGACGTCACTTCGCTGCTCTAATTTATTAATCTATTTTGTTTAGCGTGTTACAAATAATACTCGTTACAGCTGAAGGGTGTTGAAGTATATCATATAAACTATCCACTCTAAATTTGAATTTTAAATTTATTTACGTACGTAACATGGACCAAATGAAACCCGATCGTAGAGAATCGCTCATATCGTAGAGACCAGTAGCGAACTAACCTCATCGGAGACCCGGGGCGACAATAGTTTTTTCCAACCGGGGAAACTTGATATTTCGTTATATTTATTATACAATTTTAACTTTATTGTATTGTTATGGTTTTGGCGAATGCCTGTAGCCATTTAGAGGCCCCCAGAACCGGAGAAAATACTTAGTTCTCCACACTTCAGACTCCACAAAAAAGGCAACCATTTTATCCGTAACAGGGTGACGCTTAAAATCGTGTGAATTATCAAGTAACTTGCGGTGGTCTAAACTACTGATGATTAGTCCCTCTAGAGACCTAACTCGGCTCAAAGCTGCATATGCTTTATTTCTTTACCAAAAATATTTGTTCTTCATGCTTTTTCACGGTTTTTTTTTTGTTTATATATCGTGTATACTTTAAATAAAAACTTTAATCAATAAGTAAGAAAATTAGCGAGAATGTTTTGTGAAACAACTTTAAATCGTTATATATCCTAAACTATTATTTTAAATGAAAAATGATAAAAGGAATCTATAGATGATTTTAAAATACCCATTCGATCGATTTTTATTTTTTTCATTTAGACAATATGGCGTCTGGTTGTCGCTGTGGTGAATTTTGATTACTGTTATGTTTTTAGTGACACTCGCAAGGTTAAAACGAATCGATTGACGTAAGAATCATCAAAATCGGCCTACGCATTTGGTCTCTAGAACGCCACATAGAAACAAACATACATACATACATATACATAGACTGATAAACACATTATCCTCCTTTGCATCGCGCAGTCGGGTAAATAGACTCAAAACATCACAAATTGTAACTAGTCAACTATAAAATATTTACGATAAATATTGAGTTTATTTTCTATATTTAATCGACTTTTGAAGTTTGTTCTTTACTTTATTTATTAACACATAGGGCGTTTACATTATATTCTAAAATACTCAAACATTCAGTTATCATAATAATTCACAATCATGATTCAAACAAATATATATTATAACATTAAACGTATTTTGTGATCAAAGATCAAATCTCTCTCAAACGGAGCTACAGTGATCTGTTTCGCAGTAATTATTGCAAATGAATACTATTCGTTTAATAATGTACAACAGGCGCTGTTCAGTCATCAACCATCGCAAAATTACTGCTGGCTTTAATCCAATCAAATACTTCGTGTCCGTTCTGATTTTATAAATATGAGTTTTATAAACTAAATATAATGTATTCAACTATGTCTTTATGAGTTACTTGTCTTGCAAAATTTTCTATAACCATTTAATAATTAGTTTATTTTTTTATCACACAATCATTGATTGATAGGCGAACAATTTATGATTAATTATTTTGTGCGATCTGAAGCCTAAGCTAGGGCAACCCTGTAATTCAGGACTCCAGGTCCCTCCCGTGAATCAACGAGCGCTCATCTCAGTGCAGGTCAATACTAACACTGTTTAAGTAAAGTAAAACATAAACATGGATGCTATGATGTGTGTGTTGAAAATTGAATGCGTATACAGATTTGTGGTAAGACATACATGCTGCACGTTATCACAATATTTCAAATTCCTGTAATAAATTGTGATCTCTATCTCCATTATATTAAGGTTTAAAATCGAGTGGGGATATTTGACGTTTTGTACAGTACCTAACCTGATATACTGTTATATGTGCATTTGATAAAAGTAGTTTAAAGGAATAATTTTCAAGTACGCATTAAAGTCATTAACTTAAAAAATAATATATTAAAAAATTCATACAATCTTTTTTCTGGAAATATGTATTTCATTATCTTGTAATGCTTTAATGATCATAGTTGTTACATACTATGTAAATTATAAAAATTGTTTACAATATTATTGAAATATATATCTATTTCAAGAAATTTTATAGCTGTCGATAAAATGCAGTATGCATATGCATTTCTAGGTACCAATGTACAACATTGCGCATGACAATGGATCTTGAGCTGACGACTCCCGTTGCTTGTGTAGGCATTCTAAGCATTTTAAAACCTTTAACCGATCATAATACTCACAATTTAATAAGTATTTATAGAATTTTAATACAACTAAGTGAATGAAACTAACAAATCGATGTATGCGCGCGCACTCTAGAGCATGGCTTCCTTACTCCACTTGGATACACTACGATCAATAGAACAGCAGTTGCCTTAGATATCCAACGATTGGTCAATTTCCGACAATATTTGCTTCCTGAAACAAAACAGGCAGTCGATATCGCGTGGAGTGATAGCTATGTTGAAAATTTACATACAGAGATAGATGTACAAGTGTATAAGAACATCAACCTGTACCGTAGTCATATGAAGGAATTCGAGTTGAATACATTGATATTTATTTTCTTTGCGGTTATCTGAAAACCAGGAAATGAAAAATTGTACACATATTCATGTAGACAGAAGCTTAAAAAGCTCATCAAATAAATCAAACGAATCTTATACTAGTGGAAAAGTAAACTAACTAAATTTTTTCGTTAAAACTATAACGTCCTCGACAATGGTGAACTAAATTCAAAATTTTTGACTATAAATTTGACTTGCAAAGATATTTAACGCTATCGGATAAAACAAAAAGCTAAGAAAAGACCGTCAAAGACAAATAAAACCAGATCTTAAGATCTGGGCGGCAGAGTCCACTCCTTCTTGTAATGGAGAAAGGTGAACGGTTTTCAGAATACCTGTTCGCGAAGATGGGTCCTGGAGACGGAGGGACGAAGACCACGGAGGACCGGATGGCACCGTTCGAGCCAACCGGTGTGAAAAAATGGTTCATTGACAACACCATGCTGGTGATAACATTGATTGGTGTGATTTCCGGCGTTGCTGTAGGTAAGTAAATATATACCTATATATACATATATAAGTAAAAAAGGTCAATTAACAACAGAACTTCACAAGATAACGAAACAGAGTCAGCGTCAAATGTTAAATGATCATTAAGATTTTAAACAAACTTTTGACCAAGTATGAGTGATAATAAATATTGTAAAAAAAATTTCAATCTAGAATAGAGTGTAGGTAAATACAAAGGCTTATTAATTTAAACAGAGATTTTCAATTGTTTTGGCAGTAACCATTTAGGTTTGAGTTATTTCGGAGATTCAAGTACCGGTCTCAATTTTGGAGTGGAGCTGGTGATTATTTGTCATCGTGATTTATTATTTCGGTCACTATGCTCCGTTCGTTCTAATTGTTACAAGTAGTATGCCCGCTATTATAAAGATACCTAAGTACTGTGACAAGAGACAAAAAATTCTTAGTGGCTTACAACTTAAATATACTATTATAAGAAATGAACAAAATTTAAGTGTTTGATTTATGAAAATTGTCATATTCCAGGATTCGGTCTTCGTCCTTACGGTCTAGGTCCAGATGCGCTTATGATAATATCATATCCAGGTGAATTATTCATGAGATTGTTGAAGCTAATGATACTGCCGTTAATAATCGCAAGCCTCATTGCCGGCTCTGCGAGTCTGAATGCCAAGATGAGTGGAAAGATTGCAGTAAGGACCCTACTATATTTCATTCTGACGTCTATGTTCAATGCTGCACTTGGCATACTCGTTGCAACATTAATACATCCAGGAAAACCAGATTTACGAGATGATTCAGTTGGTGTAACAATTGGTAGAAGGGAACACAGTATTTTGGATAGTCTTTTGGACATTGGAAGGTAAATATTCGAATAAACTTTTGAATTCTTCATAGTACGAGTAATACACTTGTTCTATATTGATCATCATTTATAAAATAGGTTCAAAAGCTAAGAATCTAGTGTATTCATGCGAAGATTATTATTCTATGCTAATGTTCATTGTAGTAATAAGTTACGTGAAAAGTGCACTGTCTTTGAGTTTTAAATCAAATATTAATCAATCATGGTTTTGCTGTGCAACAAAATTTTTAAATTGTCTATTTTGTATGGCATGACACGATGAATTTCAATTTCAGAAACATATTTCCTGACAATATAGTACAAGCTGCTTTCCAACAAGCACATACAGTTTATGCTAAACCTCCAACCATATTTGCTGAAAATGCCAGTGAAAGTGACACGTTACCAGCTCTAGTTCGAGTAGTGTCTTATAGGTTTGTAACAATATTAATATTATATATTTTATTTGTAATAAAAACTAAGCGATATACATTTATAATCAAACAATTAATATTTGGGAATCATCAAAGTTGTCGAGCAAAGCATTGTCGAAGATATGTGTAAATTTATAAAATTGTATTATCAATCAATAATCATAGTCCTTTAATGTAATTAAACTAGTAAATTTTATGCATAGTAAATAAATACTGTTTTTTTTTAGATCTGGCACCAATACTTTGGGTTTGGTTTTCTTCTGTTTGGTCTTCGGAAGTCTGCTAGGAACTTTAGGGCCTAAAGGCAAGGTCGTAATTGACTTCTTCCAAGCTATTTTCGAAGTAATCATGAAGATGGTTACAGGTGTTATGTGGTTGACTCCCCTCGGAGTCAGCAGTGTCATCGCAGGAAAGATATTAGGCGTTAGCAACGTAGGTAGGTAATTTATAGAAAATAACGATACCATAATTTTAATGAGCTAATCTTTTATCAGCGACATTCTAATTTAATGTTTAACTTTTAACACTGCTATTTTTAATAAACTTTTCAGGACAAGTCATGTCTCAACTTGCATGGTTCATAGCTACAGTGGCAATTGGAGTGTTCTTCTATCAACTCATCGTAATGCAACTGATATACTTCATAGCTTTGAGAAAGAATCCTTACAAGTTCTACTGGGGATTATCTCATGCTATGCTGACGGCTTCTGCAACTGCGTCCACGTAAGTATTTATTAAAAATAAACACCAGGTATTTCTAAAATTTAGTATTACTTTCTACCTAAATTATGTGGATGCATAATAAATAGTAATATCTTTATGTGTTTAGCAGCCTGAGAAAGCAACTTAAAAAGATTTCCGAGCGCTATTTTTGTTTGATTGACAAACAATGCATTGTCCCATGAAATATTTTTAGTAAAATTACTTTTTCTATTTTTTAACTTCGTAGAGTACAGATTTAATAATTAGAAATTTTAATGTTACGTAAATTAATAGACTTTGTTATGTGATTTGAGTGAAACATTATTTTAGTTTGAATTTTAAGCCCCTCCTAAAAGTTTCTTAGCAAAGTTGATTGTCGGTTGAATTTGTTGAGTTGACGGCCGGATCATTTAAATGGCTTTTTGTGGATAGTATCTTTTCATATAAAATCAACATAAAAATAGACTTTTACATATAAAAATTTCAGTGCCGCAGCACTGCCAGTGACGTTTCGAGCTATGGAGGGTCCATTACGCATAGACCCTCGCATCACAAGGTTCGTTCTGCCCATCGGGTGCAACATCAATATGGACGGCACCGCTCTATTCCTCGCTGCTGCCAGTGTATTCATCTGCCAGATGAACACAATTCCATTGGGCTTTGCACAGCTCGCAACTATCTTGTGAGTAATTCACAATTCATTTTATATCATACTAACTACCTACGTGATTTCGCCCTCGTAAATTATAGACTACGTCATCCGCAAAGATGTAGCTTCCGTTATATGAAAGGAATTTTTGGACCGACCAGCAGTTTCGTTACCCATTCAATGCAAACAAACGATTAATTTGTTTATAATTAAAGCATCGATAATATCCTAATAGCTATGCTATAGTTGAGCAGAGCGCTGTCACATACAGAGGTTCGATGAAATTAAAACTTTATTACCTTTGGAAATAGATATTATTTAAATGAACATCTGAGAGCAAGTTCAACGCTGATTTTATTACAGAATAACACTGGTGAAAGAGCATTAACTGCTAATCAAATTACGTATGTGTGTTCCACAATATTTATATTCAATATAATTTAGTCAGTCAGTTTATTATAAGAACTTGTGAATGTCAAAAGGTATGAAATCGGTTTGCAAATCTGCAGCGGGACACCTTACGCTAAAAAGAACCGGGCTGCTTATTTCACACAGAGATGTCCAAATATCAGAAATAATATTAATATACACTATAGTTGCAACGTTATTGTTCGGTTGTAGTCTGACGTCGACAGCGGCGTCGGTGTCGTCTGCGTCGGTGCCGTCCGCGGCGATGGTGCTGCTGCTGGTGGTGCTGGCGGCGGTGGATGCGCCCGCGCACGACGTGTCGCTGCTCTTCGCTATAGACTGGCTCGTGTGAGTCATCATCATTTAGCATCATCGTCAGCCCTTTCACGTCAACACTGCAGGGACTCAGGCCTTCCTTATGGGTGGTTAAGAGGCACCATGTCCCTCCACGCTAACAGAGCCATATGTATTCTGATATCGCGTGAAATCGTAAAACTCTGCTAACAAAGTGCTCTATATATCATTATTACACATTAGGTATGTAGGGTTTTCCTTTATTATTAAAATACCTAATTAAATTACATTGTTTAAATAATTGCAATTAAAACAGCGAATAATTAAATAAGTATTTATAATTCGTATAATGATATACGTTTTTCTATACTAACACATTATGTCTTGACCGCAGATAACAATTATTATGATATTACAATTCTGATTACTGGTAACATAGATTTTTTTAAAGTGGGGATAGACGCTTGGTTGTTACCGGGTAGTTTTGTTTATGGGATACGAATATAGAATATAAACTAGCGATAAAAACTGTGACTTGTTTGAGGAATAAATTGTACATCGGCTGGACGACTTTTATTACAGGTTTACATTTTCAGTTATATTTCTTGTTTCATAGATTTTTTTTTTATATTTCAGTGACCGCATTCGAACAACTAACAATATGCTGGGCGATTGTTATGCAGCGGCAGTAGTCGAACACCTCTCTAAGAACGAGCTGATGGCCTGCGATGCTATATCCAACGTAAGTGTTTATACGTATATGTGGTTCGTTTCAAAGCATATCGATGTAGATTTGTATCTTATTAAACACCAAAACGAAATAAGATTTTCTGTGAAAAGAAAACGTGTGAAATGTTTTATTTAAACATTTTAAAAAATTACACTTTGATTGAAATCATCGAGATCATGTGCTCTCCGGTTTTGGTTTCGTTAATTTATATTTTTGGAGTTTGTCTAAAAAATTCAGCACAATCCTTAGACCTTCATGTTAAGAAAGGTTTTCTCGGCAATTATAAACATGGGTTCTTATAATATATTCTCATTATACGAAATACGATACGAAATATATATTATACGAAACGAATGCTTATGCTACTTTATTTCGAGGCATAACCTTATTATAGTTTTCGATATTGATTTATCAGGATTAATTTCCCTTTTCTATTTTAAATGCATTCTGAATTCCATTCAGGAGCCGGTTGCGAATGGTACAACGCCGACTTTGAACACCGAAGTGGATTTAGGTATCGTCACACCGAGCAGGAAGTCTATAGCCTCTGACGACGTCATTATTGATATGCATTTCAGCGGACACCACTGCAACTCCATCAAGAGAATGTAGTTATGCGGCCACTTCATCAATAATTATTAAGATATTGGCTGATTCAACATAGGTTTGTGAAGTTAGTATTTTATATTAGGCTAATCATGAATAAGTGCTTAAAGTACCTAATCAAAAAAGACATGAAATGTTCGGTAAACTATACAATTAAGTATATTGAATACCTGACAGTAGTCAGTAATAATTAGGGAACTTCGATGACTGAATGAATGTCTGATTCGTATGGTCTCGTTTAACATTGTTGTAGCACTATTTCTATAGACAGATCAATTGGCCTATATTATAACAAGTATATCAAGATATTCGGCACTATATGGTCCTCCAACACTCATTCAATCTAATGCTTTGATAGTGTTGAGTTGATACACGTTTTGATCACTAATTTACTAACAACATATAATTTTCAACAAGTCTGAACGATGAATCAGTTCTGAATAATCATAACCTTTTGCTTCTTTAGTAGATATTAATTTTTATATATGTCCGATCAATTCTTGAAGTGATTCATCCAACTATACTCATTCAATTTTAGAAGTATGTGATACACTTTTTAATATTTACGTATTTTACGATAAAAATTATCAATAAGAATTTAATGACTTTTGAAACAGTGTTTTTTATATGTACCCATTCTTAATATAGAATTTGATATGATCAAAATTAATGTTAATCTATGAATAGAGGAAGACTTATATATTAAGACACCTAATCTATCATATTGTTACAATAAACCATGTAGTATATCAAAATAGTCACTAAATGTAACTAGTATTACTGAATTAGTTATAAATATAAAACTGGCATTCACAATGTTAGAAAACAGCGTGCTTTAATTATCATTACAATATGTAGTTATTTATTTAAGTATAATTTTAATTTTGAGTCCTCAGAAAACATTGGTAGTTCGTAAACTCATCTACTTATTTGTTTCATTAAAGTAATTGCTAATTTAAATTCTTTGGTAAATTTCGTTTTTAATAAATTCTTCTTGATGAATACGAAACTAGCAAATTAAAAACTTCTTAGGTTTAAGATGTTCCATTATAAAATGCCTTTGAATAATGTTTCATTTAATTCGAAGAACAATAAATACCACGAGTATATCATGTATTACACGATATTACTCTGACATTGTTATTGACATCATAATTTGCTGCTGATAACTTTGTTATTTCATTTTTATATGTAAGAAAAGGTTCCAAATTTATAAAATCATTAATTTCACTATTATTAGACTTAGATCCAACTGTGATATTTGTATATCATTTGTTTTCTTTCCGTTATATAATGTTTGTTTCGGGACTCTTAAGAAATGAAACAGTTCATAAATTTTACATGTTTTATTTTTTCGTTTACATTCTCCACGGACAGTCAATGTAACTAACTAAGGTCTATGAACATGATATTTACATTTAATTACTCAACTATCCATCTCAATGTGATGATATCACTCTTTTAAATATATAAAAATAATAATTAATATTACAATTTCGAATATAATACAGATGTACCTAGATCACAGTAAAGTATTGATACTGAGTAAGATGTTTTTTCAGAAATTGAGAAAGGCACAATAGTTTCACCTAAATACATAAAATTTGTAAGTTATATCAAAGTTTGTGACTTCATTTTATAAAATACATGTTTTCAATAAAGCTTATGACAAAGTAGCAATATCTAAAAATACACTTATAGCTTAACGTAAAGCTGTTCCGTTTCATTTATATTATAATAATATAACATGGCAGTCTTTATTTAAATATTATACAAGGCACTAAAATATACAGTCTAATATTTACAGATATTGTTACAACCCGAATGATAATTATTTACATTTACCGTAAAATCGGTATAAGCGTTTAAAATACACCATTTTGAGCATATTCAGGCTAATCCATTTGGCAGATGCACGAAATGATATCAAAAAACTAATCCGATTACATCGGTAATCAATAAATATTACTAAAAATACTTAGGTTAACAGTCATTACACAATATTTACATTATACTAAGAAATAATACAGAATAAATCATATTCGCATTGTAGAATGTGGTGGTTTTCTATTGCCTGGTGCTGGTGGTAGAGCAGGACCGACTAATGGTGACATTGATGGTGACCTTGTAGCCAATGGTGACAATGATGGAGAGAAAGAAGGTGACATAGCTGCAGCTGCAGAAAAACCTCCAGGCACATCATGACTTATTGGAGACCTAGGTAATAAATGTTGAGGCTGTCTACACGATAATGAAGGGGCAGGACAACTTCTAGGTGCTACAGTGGTTAATAACGGAGGTGGAACACTTTTTCCAGCTGATATAGAAGTCCCTTTACTCTTCGCACTAGATGCACCACTATTTCCACTTTGCAGTGACACTGCATCGTCTTTTAAACGAGCAATTTCTGAAAAAACATGTGCTAAAGGTTGATATTGTGGACCCCAATCTAATAAATAGTCCCAATTATAACTACCAGTGAGTTCTTCTTCTGAATGTACTATGGAACTTAGACTGCCTGTCATTGAAGGTCCCGCAGTAGGTACAGCAGTTCCATCACCAGGAGCACTCGGAAAAGCTCCTAAAGCCATTGCTCTCTCTACTGCTGCACTTGCTTCATCTGCACTACTAGCTCTCTCACTTCCCGTAACTTCATTGAGTTTAGCATAAATTAAGTTAGTAATATCATTTTCGTTACCACCATCTTCATCAAACATATGCATGGAATCTATAGGTCCATGATGAAGCATGGTATCTTTATTAACTACGTTTTCAGAACATCTCCTTGAAGAAGTTGAAGCGCCACCTCCAGTACCCGTATCAACTATTCCTAGGCGTGCTAGATATTCTTGAGTATTATGGACTGATACATCAGACAGATTATCATCATCAGATTGTCTGTGGATACCCGATTCTCTTTGCAAAGGACCTTCATTTATCATTCTTATTTCCTCGTCTTCACCATCTTCTCCATCTTCAGCAGAACCTCTGCCACTAGATCCTGACTGATCTGATCCAGATAATTCTGAAGTAGTTGCAGCTCCTGAATTAGAACTGGCTGTGTGAGGGCCATATGGTGGAATCTCATCGTACTTAGGTGGAGCAAACTGACCAGGATTTCCAGCACCAGTATTTCTAATGGGTATTGTATCAAATGCACTAGGGTCAACGTAACTATTAGTAGCACCTACTCCTTCTGAATTTAGTCCTGGTTTATTAACTTTCTTGTGTCTCTTATTTTTCATATGTAGGAAAAGGAAGGCAGCAGCAAAAATAATGATAATAAATATAAATGCTATAAGAAGACCTAATGCCCAGTCTGAAAGTCCGCCGCTTGAACCGGAAGAAGAATCCTTTAATTGGTTTGTTGGTATATCTGATATTATAGCTTCATGATCTAATAGTATCTCTACAGCTGTTTTATTTGTCAATGACCCTTGTCTACCAGAACTTGCTGTCACAACCAGACTGATTGATTTATCTGAACCAAAAAGATTTGAAATAGATTCGACTTTCCGTTTTAATATAATCACTCCAGTAGTACGATTAATTTTGAAATAAGAGTGTGATGTTGATAGTTGATAAACTATTCTACCATCAATGCCTTTATCTCTATCTGTTGCTGTTGCTTGTCCAATAATATAGCCAGCAGGTAAAGGTCCTGATTTGGGTATACCAAAATTATATGTTTTCTGAGTGAATTGTGGATAAAACTCATCCCGACTCTCTATGTCTATTCGAACTTTCACAGTAGAACTTTTACCGCCTATGTCAGATGCTTTTATTGAAAATTCGTATTTATTTTTTTGTTCATAATCGAATACAGAATTAGTATTAACCAAACCAGTCTCAGAATCTATTTGAAACATTTTCCATGAATCATCATTTCTGTTATAGTTGATTGCTGTAGATACTATGGTGTAATTCAGTTTTCCATACCGACCGCGGTCTAGATCAGTGGCTCGAGCGGTAAATATTGACGTCCCAACTCTTTCATTCTCAGCTATTGTTTCAAAATACTCATTCACAGGGAACGTAGGAGTATTATCGTTTTCATCCAATATATTGACTTTTACGTATACTGCATTACATAGAGATGGTTCTCCTTTGTCACAAGCCACGACAATAAGTTTATATTCAGTATTTCCGACATCGTAATCAAGAGTCTTGTTAACAGTCAAAACACCAGTAATTGAATCAATATGAAACAATTTTTCATCGTCTCCAGAAGTTATATTGTAAGAGATTGCTGCGTTCAAAGTTCCATATGAATCCGCATCAGTTGCGGATATTTGTGTTAGTGTATAGCCTAGTTTTACATTTTCGCTTACCATTAGATCAAAATCATTATTAGTAAAAACTGGAGCATTGTCATTAGCATCCGCTACTGTCACAAATACTGTGACTGAAGTTTTGTTTTGATTATGTGCTAATAGTTTTCCTTCTTCAACAGCTGCAAGTCCGAGGACATATGAATCTTGAACTTCTCTATCCAGATTGTTAATTAAAATCAAAGCCCCTTCGGAGTTGATATCAAATGTATCTCCTTCATTGCCCGTGATAATATGGAAATCCAAATTGTACTTCTTTAGAACATCATTGATGCCACCTATCTGCAGAAGTGTTGATCCCTTTTCTGTATCTTCATTGACGGTAATTCTGAAATTTAACGTGCAAAAGTTGAAGAAACAGATAACGTATGTATTTATTATTCGCTATATCATATGAGACAGTTCGGCGCGTTCCCTATAATATGGTTAAACAAAGAGATAACTATCTCATGCTATGCTTGTGAACGGGTGTTGCTTGTAGAAATGAATCAAAATTTTCATACGGCTGGTCATACCTAGCATGACGAATTTCATTTTCCTAACTCTTTTAAAAATATTCGTTATTTCATTATTTAAAAAATCGAAAATTAAGTAAACTTAAACATTTATGCGGATTTAAAAAATGAAATTGGTGCCGATGACACCACCAGTAATAAATTTTTGTGCATTAAAATTAAAATTTTGCGAATTGTAGTTTTTGAGAAATCTTATAGTCTATATAAATATCTTTACCACTGTTAAGAGTTGATAAGTTAAAATTAAAAGCCGATCTTAAAAAAAAAAAAATTCGATATATAACAAATAATAGATCGGAATACGAGTATAACATACCTATAAGCGTCTTGTCCTATAAATGGCTTTATTTCTGACGAAGCCCCGGTACTGATTCTAACTGCAGCTACAGCACTTTTGTTTGGCTTCCCGTGATCTGTTGCTACTATCGCCAGTTGAGTATCGCGTTGATTAGGTGGTAACGCACTATAGTTCACGTATATTGCACCGGAATCGGCATCAATGTAGAATCCTTTTGTCGTTCGAAACAGTGAATAAGAAATCTTTCCATTTTCACCACTATCTTTATCGTTTGCCTTTACAGAACCTATTTCCAATGTTCCACTGCCTTCTGGAATTAAAAAACAGTAATTTTTAGTTCAAAGCAAGAAAAACAAAGCAAATCTATATGAGTAAAAACAAAATGAACTAGACTAATTAATACAATTTTAGTATTGGCAATGTGATCACATGGTATACATTGAATTAACTATAAATGCAAACATTTTGTGAGAGTGGAAGCAGATTATATGAGTAGATTATATATGATAAAAAGATAAATCCTACTTATATTATATTAATGCAATATAACTAGATTTTATATTATTTTCATAAAGGTAGTTTTGTAAAGACTTTTTTCACATACCTGGGAGTATTCTGTTGTAGGATATATCGTCGAACACGGGAGCGTTGTCATTCACATCTGTTACTTTGATCGTGAGAGTTGTTTTGGCAACGTGCTCGCTGTCGGAGGCGGTTATGTTAATTTCATACATTTTCTGCGACTCGAAATCCAAGGGTTTGTTAAGAACAACCTTTCCGCTATATCTGTCTATAGAAAATCTGTTGTCATCTTGTATCAAAGCATATTTTAAAGCAGGATATGTATCGACATCGTTTGCTGTTACAGATGTGAGTACAGTGCCAACATCTGCACCTGAAAATAAATTATTTTGCATTTTAATTTAAATGACATTTTTCTTCTTAATTTCTTTTTTTTTTCAAAAACTTTATTGGCCAGAATAATAACAAAATGCACACGAACTATATAGTCACCGCCATAACATGTATATAAAAAAATGTAATACCATCCAATAAATATTGAACCTAAAGCAGTCCTTTTTTCTTAATCTCGGTGCTGGAATCGTAAAGTCGCAATGTAAGCAAGTCGCGAAGTCGAGAATACAAATTATGTAAAATGCCTCCCTCTTTGTGAATCGCTTTTTGTTCTACCAATTTGTTTCGAAAAGTCGATAGGCCGCTCTACAGCAATTTAAAACCGAATACGTAAACGAGTAAAAACTTACCTTCTGATACAGAGATGAGATTCGGTGGCGGGAATGTCGGATGATTGTCATTTACGTCAACTACATTGATCCTGAGGGTGGCAGTGCCAGTCATTTGCGGGTCTCCCTCATCCGTGGCTATGACTGTCAATTTATACGTTTCCCGAATCTCCCGATCCAACACTATGTTCGTCTTAACCGATCCAGAAAATGCTGGTTCTATAATAAATGCGTTATCGTGGTTCCCGTCTACAATATGGTAAAGAATTCTCGCGTTCACTCCCCGATCACCGTCCTTCGCAGCCAGTTGCACAACAAATTCGCCCTTAGTATTCCCCTCGAGAACGTTTGCAATGTATTGCTGTTGCGTAAATCTGGGAGCATGGTCATTTTGGTCCAACAGATTTATTGTTACATCGCAATAACCGTATAAGACCGGCGGGCTGTCAGTTCGGGCAACCACAACGAGTTGCCTCCTCGGTCCCGGATAAGATTCATAATCCAAATTTTCCGAATTATTCACTCTTATAGCGCCTGTATTTGAGTCTATTTCAAAAGCGTATTGGTCGTTACCGTTGCCGATTTCATAAATTATTCTTTGGCGACGCCCATCACTTCTGACGGCTGTGACTTGTAATACGTTGCTTCCATAGGGCATATTTTCTTCGATTGTAACGTTGTAAGTAGTGTTTTGAAAATTAAGTGTTGGAGTTTGATCGGAAAAATCACCAACACGAATTTCAATAAGGCCAATAGAACTTTGTAAAGGATTTCCTTTATCTTTAGCGACAACTTTCAAATGAATAAGTTTACCGTTCTCGCTAGCCAAACTTTGTGTCGCTGTTAGAACACCTGTGGTTGGGTTAATGCGAAATTTGTGATTTGATGTGTCTAATAATTCATAAATAATTTCTGCATTTGTTCCTATATCATTATCATTGGCTGAAACTCGCAATAAACTTTGTCCTGGTGGCGTAAGTGTAGCGATTTGTTCCCTAAATGGGTATTTGGTAAATATTGGTTTATTGTCATTCACATCTTTGATCGTAACTTCAACTGAAACTCTTTGTGATCGGGCAATGTACCTGCCCTCATCAGTCGCAACTGCTTCAAAGTGATATACGGATGTTTTTTCTCTGTCAAAATACCTATAAAAAAGAAAATACTTATAAAAGAAAAAATACCTTATAAAAATACCTTATAAAAGAAAATCTTAAAATATAAATATATACAATTTAATGCACTTTATTCTCGATTTATGTCATAAATGTACACTTACCCAGTGGTAAAAACGATACCCGTCTTATTGTCAATTCGAAACAATCCCTGGCTTTCGTTAGCCAATGAATAAACAATACGCTTATTGAATCCCAAATCAGCATCTGTGGCCCTTACTTTTATGACAGAGGTGTCAAAAGGAGCATCTTCGGGTATGGCAGCAGAATAATGTCCAGTATCAAACACTGGATCATTGTCATTTTGATCTTCAACTATTATGGTTATATTACAAGACCCTTGCAAAGCTACAGGAGAGCCATGGTCAAAAGCTGTTATAGTTAAATGATATTTTGACTGAGTTTCACGGTCCAAAGATTTAGCGGTGAGTTTTCCTGAAGTGGAATCGATAAAGAATTTATTTCCATTATTTCCAGAGGTGATACTGTACGTGATGATTCCATTTGCCCCAATATCTTTATCCATTGCAGCGACTGTATGAATAACCTCAGCATCGTTATTTTCGGGTACCGATAATGGATAACACGAGCCAGTTTTAAAACTAGGTGGATTATCATTTACATCCATAATACTGATAGAAACTGTTGCGACATCGAAATTTGTTGTAGACTGAAATGTACTTGAATCAGTCACATACACTGGAAATACATAATAGTCTTTTTCTTCTCTATCGATTTTAATTTTCACAGTAATAGTACCCAAACGTGGATCAATAGTAAACTTATCATCAGCTACTCCAGGTGGTATCAAGTAAGTAAGGTTACCTGTAAATAAATTATTTCAAAGTTAGTTGTTTTTTAATGGTAATTATTAAATCTCATTAGTATAAAAATCAACAAAAAACATTACCAATATTTCCTCTAGAAGATTTAGCAGTCAGCCTTGTTACAAAGCTGCCTGGGCGAATATCTTCACTAATGTTAGCACGATAGAAAGAATCGGTAAAACGTGGTGGTATATTAGATGATTCTTGTAAAGTTAATAGTAAAGTCATATGACTTTGTCGAAAAGGCACTCCATGGTCTGAAGCAGTAAGGTTCAATTTATACTGCCCTGGCCGCACTCGTGAAATGTCAGATGAATATTTTTTCGATAGTGTTAATTTACCAATATCGTATTCCATAGAAAAATATGCATGCTCATCACCACCAGATATATAGTAGGATATTCTTCCATTGTCTCTAGAATCTGCATCTACAGCCAATGCTTGATACAATGTTCCTGATAAGGTATTTAAAGAAACAGTGACTCGTGACGCCGATACAAAGGTAGGTGCATTATCGTTTTCATCGGTCACAGATATGTGAACAGTAGCTGATGTGATCATTCTCTCAGAAATATTTACCGCTTGATCAGTAGCTTCAATTACAAGCCAATATTCTTTTAGTGTTTCATAATCGAGCGGAGAGGTCAAAGTCAACGAACCCGTTAACGGATCAAGATTAAATGCAGTTTTTGTAGGTGGTAAGGATGATACGATATAATAATTTAATTCTCCATTTGCGCCAAAATCTGCATCTTTAGCAGTGAAGTTGTAGATTGTCTTCCCAATGGGAGTGATTTCAGATATCTCTATGTTGATAGGATCTTCAGGCCATTGTGGTGCGTTATCGTTTACATCTACAATTTCAATCTTAACGGTGACGGCACTACTCTGCGGATTATTGGTTGCTGATGTATCTAAAGCCCTCACTTCTAACCGATATTCGTCTTGAATTTCTCTGTCTAATTGCCTTGCTACAACTAAAGAGCCTGTACGCCTGTCTATTTCGAATGTTCCAGGAACGTGATCTGTTGTTAATGCCATAAGTAAATATGAAATCTGTTTTTCTTCATCCCCATTCACTAGGTTGTTTTCTATATCACTATCACAACAAGTAACTGTACCGATTACATGACCAATTTTTGCATCTTCTTTGACCTAAAACATTAAATAATACTTGTTAGTAAATATTTCAGTTTTAGTATAATATTATATAATAAAATAAATGTTTTTCAAGTTATTACCTTGAAAGATAAACTAGAACTAGTAAACGTTGGTCTATTATCGTTCAAATCTAAAACCTCTACTTTCAACTGTCTAACGGTCTGTCTTGGCGGTTTTCCCCCATCTGTTGCTGCAACTGTCAATCTATAGATCGATCGCTCTTCGTGGTCAAGAACTAAAACAAAAAAAAATATATTTAAAACAAGTTCTCTCTCGTATTTATGTGTCGTATCGATTTTTCAGAAGATTAATGCTTACCAGTGCTTGTTTTTATTACGCCAGTAATTGAATCAATAACAAAAACCCCATAACCGTCCATATCTCTTTCATTTAAAATGGAATATGTTACTGATGCATTTATTCCGTTGTCTCGGTCGAAAGCTTTTACTCTCGCAACTTCAGCACCAGGCTGTTGTTCTTCTCTTACACTAACAACATCTTCTCTAGGATCTATTATTTCTGGTGAGTTATCGTTGACATCAGTAATTTGTATCGTAATCGGAACTCGGCTAGACTTCGGAAGACTGCCTTGATCTTTAGCTTCCGCAAATAAGGCATATGACGATTTAAATTCACGGTCCAAAACCTCTTTTGTGGTTATGATTCCTGTTATGAAAATAATTAGTTTAATAAGTGATCAATGGAAACTTACCTACTCTGAAAATATATATAACTAATGTTTTTTTCCATAATTGGTATAATCAATTTAGACTCAATTTCACACAACCTATAATGAATACTGAGCACGTCCTAAGCAAATTTACCGCCAGTATGTCTACCTTAAGTAGCGTAAGAATTCTGTCAATTTCAAATCGATTATATTGGAGTTCAAACCCGAAATTAGGGATTCATAAAAGAGGTCGCCCACGGCAAAATACCTATGATTATCCAAAGGTCCTCTCCGTATTGGGAACCTAAAAATCGTGATGACAGAAATGAGGAAGGAAGATAAATGTGATTTTATAAAACTGCTCTGAGCAAAAATCATCTTTAAGTGTTCTTAACTGTAAAGTTTTCTTTAGTGAAACAACTGCCGTCAGAAGATCGGATAATAAGATGTAGCAGAGATGGCCGTAATGAATAATTTGAAATGGTGTCTAAAAAGTTTCATCGTTATTTTCTTCCCTCGCAAATATTGGAATCCAGAAATTGGAGCCTTTTATTTCGAAGATATTATTATACGGACACTTAATGAGAACAATGTTACCGGTGCACTAACATTGTTCTCATTAAGTGTCCGTATAATAATATCTTCGAAATAAAAGGCTCCAATTTCATATAAAACTTTTTTTAATCATGAATTATAGTTGTTGTTTCATTATTGCAATTCATAGTCACACGGTGCCGAGTCAGATTCCAGCAACATTTTACGCCTATAATTCATTTGAGAACAGATGAAAATAAAAGGTGTCCGTCAACGAAACGAGTTGTAGGTCCGCGCATCGTCCTACACGTACATTTGTAACGTATGCGATTTAAATACGCGACGACAGTATCTGGCCCTGCTAAAGCTTGTAATAAAACATGGGAGAGAATAGCCAAGCTCCTACATAGCAATATTTTAATAATAGTTAATGGCGGGTCACGACGCATGCGCGCGCGACGACGTTTATAACTCGCAATTGACGCGCATAAATTCATTACGGCTGCCTCCCGTAGTGGTTTTCTGGTCGAACTTGTAGTGTGACCTTTCGAATAAAAATTGCCATAACGGATTGATTAATAACAGAGCTTGTAATCAGACTTTAATTAGGTGTTTACGGTAACGAAACCCGTAAATGAAAAAAACAACAAAATGTACCATTTGGCTTTATATACATTCTATTAAACCAATTATATAAAACATCTAAAATTACGATTATTGTTTCATTTTTCTTATAACTATTAAACTTTTCATTATTTTAATATCTTTAAATTACAATCAATTGAGTTAAAGTGTACTCTCAGATAATATTTTTTAAAGCGCGCTTCCAAATCTTCTATCTCCAAATCAAGACCACATACAGACGTCATTGAGAATGATTTACGCATTCCTGCACGACACTAAAGGGTTCACAGTAAAGATTCACTAACTAGCTTGCGGGGTGTTGATCGCCGATAAGCCGAATTGAGATGGAACGATCTACCATTCATCAATCAGTTATAAGGTCGATAACGAAGTACCACCCCCTTTTTTGCAGAAGCCCATATCGAGAATTTAAAATTCACACGATTCCTATGATAAGATTCGATCCGGCGCATGATAACCTTCGCTTTGATTGCAAGTTTAGACTGAACTATGCTTCCGTAAACCATTACGGAAACTTGAAATAGTTACTGGCACCAGCCAATAACTATTTCAAGTTTTAAAAAATTTGGTATCAAAGACAACATTTTAAAGAACTCTATAAAACTGTAAAATTCGTGGGAAGGACATAAACAAATATGATTTTAGGTGCTCCCTATTCCCTTTAATTGTTCAGATATTAACATGGTTATGTTTGTCCAAATTGTTTGGCTAGTCGATGAGTCTTAAGGCACAACATACTTTTGGTTTTAGCTTTCAAAGTACCGGCAGGATAAACAAAGCGTCGAGTGGACGGGTGGCGGTCGGCGGAATAATTCCATACTTGATCAAACAGTGGGACGAGAGCCCAAAGACTCGTACGGATTACGGTAAAACAGCAGTGTTATTGAATTAAATGCCATGAAAATTAATCAGTTGCCGGTTACTGATGCCAAACCTGTTTTGTTATTTAAATCTATTAACAATAAATCACTGACAAATAGTTTTGTATAATTATTTTCATTTACTACTTTATAAGAATATCCTTAATATGTTTTAATGTGACTATTCAGTAGCTTTAATTAACTTACCTGTTACGGAATTGATGTTGAAACTTGTGTTGGTTGGAAATAAACTGTATCTAACAACTGAGTTTTCGCCTAAATCTATATCTGTTGCCGCGATTTTCCCAACAAATGCACCAGCTTTTTCGTTTTCTTCCACACGAAATTCATATGCGGGCTTAGAGAATTCTGGGTCGTTGTCATTTGCATCGAGGACGTTAATCACAAGTGTCGCAGAAGCAGACAATGGCGGGAGACCGTTATCGGTGGCTGTTATAGTCATTCTGTGGTGCGCTGTTGTCTCTCTGTCTAGTGGTTTAGCAAGATAGACCCATCCGGTGGATGGCTGCACTTTGAAAAATTCAGAGCTTGCGTTGTTATCAGATATTATGCGGTAGGTTATACGGGCATTGTTTCCCGTATCTTTATCAACGGCCTGGATTTCCAATATCTGTAAAGAAAATCAATTTTATTTATTGTATCTCTGTGACAGTTTACATTTCAAGGAATATGTATAAGTTTTGATTTTAAAATTAACGTTAAATATATATACGCTACACTGAAGCACTTAAATGATTTGTTAAAAGATACCAAACCATGTATTTCTATCTTTAGAATTTTAATTACATAGCATGAAATTAAATCTAATTTACCTTCGTATTAACAGCTTCGGATTCAAGCACATTTGAGCTGTAAGCGTCATGTTCGAACAATGGAGGATTGTCGTTGACATCTTGAACATCCACCACCAGTGTCAAATTTCCACTGAGAGATGGTGAGCCACCATCTTTTGCTGATATCACTAGGGTATGGCGCACGAGGTTTTCATAATCCAAAGACCTACAAAAATATGTTAAAATAAACTTTGAAAAGTCATTTAATTAGCCATTTATTGTATTTTTATACAGTTTTATACAATTCCTGTTTTGATGTCTCGACTGTCCTACGCAAATCTTTTGAAATACATATAGAGGTAATAGAAATAACGCAAGGACCTGTTATGATGATATTGTATATGTGTATTCAATAATGATTTCTCTTGAATTATGTAACTGTACTAATGAATCTATACAATTAAATATTTCAATGATTGCATTATCTAATATTTAAGCTTTTTTCATTTACCTCAATATAGTGACCAAGCCGTGTTGACTATTTACAGCAAAAGTGTTCGATGGTCCCGTTGCCGATACCAAGTGATAAGTGACTTGTCCATTTCTTCCTTCATCTGCATCAGTAGCCTTCGCTGCGTACACCACAGAGCCTATGCTTGCTGATTCTGCTACGGAAACTCGTACTGATGACGTTCCGAACTCGGGAGCATTATCGTTTACATCTTCTAATATTATTTGTACCTAAGCAACAAAAGAATTGTGTTTCTTTTTAATAATTTATATATATTTCAAATTTTTAGTATTACTATTTGTCGCCTAAACAACTGAATCGATTTTATTGTAAGTTAGTACAGAGAGAGCAGCTTGGTGACGTACTGGATAAGCGCCACGACACGCGATCGTTGTCGTTAAGCAGCTTTTGCAAGGGTCGGTCACGGGATGGGTGACCAAAAAAAAAATATTATCTCGAGCTACTCCGTGCTTCGGAAGGCACGTTAAGCCGTTGGTCCCGGCTGCATTTGTAGTCGTTAATATCCGCCAATCCGCATTGGGCCAGCGTAGAGGGTCATGGCCCATGCTCCTTAACCATCCATAAGGAAGGCCTGAGCCCGTGCAGTGGGGACTAAATAAAGGGATGATGATGATGACAAAGAGAGTGAGACAGGTATTCTTGGAAGTGGATATACATTATCTTTAATTTGAAAAAACGGGTTGAAGATGTTGAAATAGGGGATGGAAGTTTATATGAAAGTTAGACGTCATTGGAAGGAACAATAACATGCAGATAAAATCGAGGGCAAAAGCTAAAAATATATGAATCACATAATGCCTTTTAGTGATAAAACATAAATAACATTGATTTCAAATTTCAAATCCAAATGAACGTTTGTGTGATGATATTTGTTTTAAAGATGATATTTTGGAATTTTATAATTTAAATATTTTTAGTAAATATTCGTTTTGCTACAAGAGTTTCTATAATTAAGTATCATAAAATCAGAATGTAATTCTCAATTGAAACCAAATAGTGTATTCTGACTAAACATGGAACTAGTATTAGTGCTTACTTGGGTTTGGTCTAAGCTTGATCTTTCGTTGGTAGCTGCGACATTTAGGAGGTACGTTCCGGTGGTTTCTCTGTCCAACTGAGCCACTGTCCTGATGACACCCGTCATTGGATCAATCGTGAATCTATGGTCTGCGTCACCAGAGACGATACTGTATCGAACCGAGTGAGTATCTGTTGAAAAAGAGATAGAATATTAATAATACAATACCATACGAGTAACTCGGTGGATTAGTCGATAAGCACCGCGCTTCGCGATCGTTGTTGTTAAGCAATTTTCGCAAGGGTCGATTACGGGATGGGTGACCAAAAGTGTTTTTTTTTTTCTAGAGTACCTCGGAAGGCACGTTAAGCTGTTAATACCCTCTAATCCGCATTGGGCCAGCTTGGAAGGTTATGGCCCATCCTTGTTGACCAAAGAAAACCTGTGCCCCTGCAGTGGGACTAATGATGATGAATACCATATCGAGATCTTCAAGGGCAGGAATCTAGTACAGCGAACTTGACATCAATTGCTCTGATAACAACAATCAAAACAAAACAGCTTATCAGATTTGGTACAGTTGTTCTGGCCGTTAATAAATATCGGCTATTCAATTTTTCTATTTAACATTTACCATATAATTTTAACCAGTCATAGTTTTATTATACACCTAACGAGTTAAACCATGGCGGCATTTATACTGCAATGATTTCTACCAAAATGTGCTTCACAATATTTCATAACGCTATATAACTGACAAGCACCTTTACAATCACGAATGCCTAAAACAAATATAATTTCAAAATAAAAAAAAAGAACACACACCTATTCAATAGGATTATGACTCTTTACGAAAAGTCTGTGAACAAAATTGATTTTTCTAAAGTCCACTTTGATTAAGTCTGGTCAAAGACTGGGAAGTCTATTGTCAAAAGGCAACGTGAATTTGTTGACAATATGTCACTAACTGATCATGACTGAGCCATCTCAATTTCCCCAGATTATATGTGCTTCAGTGAAATAGAAGTCTATTTATGATCACCATAAATATTTATGTAGCCCGTATCATTTTACTTTCGACATTGAAATAGTTTATACCTACAAGTTCTTAGAATTGTGTGTTTTCTTCTAACTTTAGATGGATTACAGTATTACCGATAGAGATCATATTTTGAAGAATTGATAAATATTGGCATGAAGTGCTATAAAACTTGTGCTTATCATCAGCCCTTTTTACGTCCCCACTGCAGGGGCTCAGGCCTTCCTTATGGATGGTTAAGGAGGATGGGCCATGACCCTCCACGCTGGCCCAATGCGAATTGGAGGGTATTAACGACAACAAATGCAGCCGGAACCAACGGCTTAACGTGCCTTCCGAAGCACGGAGTAGCTCGAGATAATAATTTTTGGTCACCCATCCCATGACCGACCCTTGCGAAAGTTACTTAACGACAACGATCGCGGGCCGCGGCGCTTATCCACTACGCCAACGAGCTACACCTTATCCACTACGCCAACGAGCTTATGCTGTGTTTTTACGCTAGATTTTTGTTATGATTAGTATGGTAAGCTAGTCAGTAATTTGCTAACTATATATTAATTACCTATAATAACCCAATTATCCGTATGTGTCGTCTATATAATGATCTAGCGGGGAATCAGGAAAGCTTGGACATTATGAACGATAGCCTTGATCTGTTTAAGCGATGTATTACCGATGTGCTTTTTGAATCATGTTGAATGTGTAATTATTGGTTATTTTATTAATTTCGATGTTGTAATTTTGTAAATTTATTGTAATTAATTTTAATATAATCTAATTTTATTCTTTATTTTATGCATGAAAAATATAATATACTATTATGCAACCTTTATAATTGTCATGATAAGGCCACAAATATTTGGTTTACAATCTAGTTTATAAAATACTTGAATTGCTGTAAATTCAATTTGGTTGTGAACTGTTTTGTGTCCTAACTTAAATAAATAAATATTGAAATTTAAAATAAAGTGGTAACTTAAGACAGTTTTTTTAAATAATGAAAAAGGTTATCAAGAAAAATAATTTGTAAAAGTGAGACGTAGATGATAATTAAAAAATAAATTAAAATAAATTATATGGGTATCCAATAAAATTAATTGGAAGGAACATATGAACATAGAAGAATATTGATTTATCATAAAAAATACCGATGTAAATACAGAAATTTATAGTAAAGAATATATAAAGAATAAGAGTACAAGAGGCATTTCAAACAAATGCTTCTTGTACTCTTGTTAAAACTAATATAAAAAGTAGCTATTATGACAGTCACAAGAATAAAAAAATGGTGGCATAATAATATGTAAACGAATGTGGAATAGTCAATGAATTTCAAATTAATATCCAAGGCATATTTCATTTACTAAATTATCGTATGCAAAATAATAAATAAAATACATTATCTTAATATAAGAAGAATATAAGAAGCGAAAGAATCTCCTCCCTGTTCCTGCAGTGGTATCATTAAAAACAATGTCAATTGCCCATTACATTCTCATGATTCTCGTGGAAGGTTCAGCCCCAATTAAATTATTACATTCATTATTTCATTAATAAAACAGCGATCCAGTATGACTAGTCTATTTCAAGCGGTTGGAACTATGCAGTAGCTTTTCGCTTTGTTACTGGTAATTATAACTCCTTTAATGATTAAATTAAGTTTTATTGAATGAGCGACGGCAGTAACGTCCTTCACTGACTATTGTATTGTTACTTTTTTTACCATGAATGAATTTTAAGTATTTACTTATGAAAGTATCCTTTTAAGAACAGGATTTTTGAGATGCTATCAGTTCTTATTGAGACATGCTTATTGTCTTATAATTTTTTGCATCATTTTCATTCTATAAATGTATGATTTGTAAGAGTTGTTTAAGACTCCATTATAAATATAGATTTAAATATTCTGCCTACATACTCTTCATAAGATATTCAAAATTGCATTAAAAGATTTCGGCATCAGACCCTTTATCTATCAATTTTTAATTGGCAGTTTTCACAACAATTTAAAGGGTTCATTTTCGAAACGTTTTTTGGGCGCAAGCCTTTTTTGTGCGCACTTTTTTCGTGTTTCGTTTTGGGCAGATCCGTTGACGCTCCAAGATTGATATACAGTCTCATTGGTGGACATGCCCGCAGTCTTTGTTTGTGTAACTGGTCCTTGGCCCCTCCGCCCCGCACCCTGCCTCCCTACCCCCGCGTCACCCCTTTGTTTCTCCTCTTTATACAGTCAGTGATGCGAAACATCGTCTTATTTTCGGCCAGATTTCACAGGGTTCGTCTCCGAATCAGCCTTCGAGTTCGTTTAAAGGAAAAAAGAATTGTTGACTATTTTTGCGAATTCAAAAGAACTCTTTATACAGACAGTTTGAATATCGGGAAGATATAAATTATCATCTCGACAATAAAGAATTGCATTTGCGTCAAAATATTTTAATGACAGTTTAATAATACGTTTTATGTGAAATTCCGATACTATCGAAATCGTATTTGGCATAAAATACGATTAAGATGTCTCATAATTTCCTAATACTAAATTCGAGTCTTTTGATTCTCCGGATTATTAAATTACCATAAGGTAAGAATTTACGGGATTACTGATGGTGGTATTTTTTAATTCAATAAACATGTAATATCGGGGCATGCTGCAGGGTTCATTAAGAGGCAATGGCGTGCCTTACCGAGCCTGTCTGTTCGGATACGAAATAAATTTGCATCCTGCCCTTCTAAATTGAAATCATTAATGCCGCACCGATTATCTCACTCACGAGGACCGAACGCAATTCAATTAAGTGTTGTTCAGATTGCTCTATGTGAATTGTCTGATTTCAGATTGAATTAATTCGTCTATGAGATTGTGTAAAGGCGATCGTGTTGATTGATCGATTAACGAATAGTGGTAATGGAGAATGACTAATGAAGTAGAGGGAGTTATTGTGCATTAGGTATATGGCAAATTATCAATATAAATATATGTTTGGAACGCGATAAACTCAAAATATAACGAATGGCTTTTCACACAATAACACAGTTTAAATATTAGTATTTAGACTATCATTTTATAAATATTTAATGTTAACTATCTAAAATACAATCATAAATGTTGAGTCTTGTCGACTGAGGGTATAAGTATTGAGTATTAGTTGCACCTGAAGCTTTAGTAATATGTATAGTATTCATATCAATTCTCTAGATCTAAAGTGATATGAAACTTGTAAGGAGGTTGACTCACAAACACTTAACGTTACAACACTCAAACATTTAACACATCAATCGTTTTCAGTTTCAAGCCACCAAATAACGTGGCGTAAAAAGTTGCAAATAATTGTGGTAGGATTTAAAAAAAGGAACATCTAAAACTCGAACCAGCAAAAACTGTCGCCGAAGGTTAACGACCGGCGAGGATTTATTCGCTTCTGGCTGCGGAGCGCGCGCCGGATCCGACCCGAGCGTATCCTTGGATTTCTCGGGATTCGAATTTCAAATTTTCAGCTCTATACGATTGGGCGTATTGTTATAAAAATGCGAACGCTAGCTCGCGCTACCGGTTTTCGATTTCGAAAATTAGGAGCCAGGGGAACATTCAATTTATTGCTTATAGCGAATGCTTTTTCAAATAATGATTCGAATTCTTTTTTTTTATTCTTCATCTAACGTACTCGTTTTTAATTCAAGTATTTTGTTCCAGGATTGGTATTGTCTGTGATTCATCGTTCTACAAAAATAATCATACTTTTATTTTTATAAGGATAACTTAACTGCGTTTTGATGGGAGTTTGAATAAATTCTATGAAACGGTGGAATGATACAGTAATAGTTTCTTTTTTCACCCCCGAAAATAGTATTTTACGACTAATGCGAGTTGTTGTTTGAAGGAACGGCGACAATTATTTGTGTCAATTGTTACCATTCTTTATGTTCCATTTTATATTTTTAGTAGACGGTCGTTTTAATCTTTTTCCAATGTCTATAGTACAATTAAATATATAATAGGCTATAATAGGCGAGCCATATTATAATAGGCTTAAAAGTTTTAATTTTAAAGATGCAGGATTTTTAGCATTAAATTTGGTTCCTTTACAACGAAATTCTATTCTAAAAATAATTTAATTATTTTCCGAAGAAGCCGAAAAACTTATCTGAAGCACAGGTAAGCTACACATAAACTTTCTGAAGTAATGAATCATCGGGTATGTATATTTGTGAAATAGAAATGTCAAATATGATAAATAAGAAATGCCAAATCCATAACACATGGCTAACATGGCTAGGTTTTAATAAAGATTTAAGAAGGTAGTTTCAATTTCACCTCCAAATAGTATTCTTTGTTTTATTAATTTACTGATTTTTAGTATGTAGTATTTGAATATTATCACACGATATTTATACTACGTTTATTACAGACTTTACGTGCATTACCGTAACATTGGCTGTTATAACTGCTAATGCGTATTCATCTGGATGCCGGGTACTATATTATATTTTTTTAATTAATGGAACTTTATCTTCAGGCGAGTCAGCAATAAATCTGGCAGGGGCGTGCGTTTAACCATTGAACATAAACGTTATGGAGCTCTTTCTAATTAAACTCAAGGTCTCAACGTTTGGTATAAGCGACGCGCTTATGGCTAATGTGAAAGAAATTTCTTTAATGTCGATGGACGGATGGACAATAAACACCATCATAGGTTTAGTTCGTTCGATGTATAAAAATAACGCTTTTATTGAGTACTTTTTAAAGGAGTTGGACGATTCAAAAGTACTTTTAAGAAGTCTATTTGAATAAAGATTATTTTGACTTTGACTTTGATATTTATACAATTTTTTATCTGCATAAGTTGTATGTACCCTTCCGCAAATACGGACATTAATATAAGCAAGTAGCGATGTTGAAGGAGGCTTATTCTAGTAAATATATATGGAAAGTTCAATTGAATGATTACTAATTCAATCAGAATGTTGATTCTGGTTTTACAAAATCCAAAATTTGTTCCAAACATAAGAAAAAAATATAAGCACTCTAGGTCCAAATTATTTATTGTGAATGGCAGTATCACAAATATAGGGATATTAATAGAATAATAATGATCATATTCCAGTATTATTTAATGGGGGTCATAGTTCTTGTTTGAGTCGTCATTAGTCCTTTTACGTCCCCATTGTAGGGGATCAGGTCTTCCTTATGGATGGTTAAAGAGGGAGAGTAATTATTATAATATAATATTAAAATTTTAAAAACATTAATTATAAGTATAATTTAACTACGACGGTGGCTAGTTAAAACGCCTTCCGCTTATAGATTGCACCATTTGAAAATACTACAATATGAGATCATTTTTAGATATCTTCTTAATCTAGAGATTTGATTTGCAATGGCTTCACTCGGATATCGTAGCGAAGTAATTATACACTCGTAAATTTATATAATCGCTTCTTTACACTCCGGTAAACTTGGTATTAAAGAATTAATTGATTCAATGGCAAATTTGATTAATATGACGGATGAGTATTGTTTTTTGTTAAATATTGATTCTTATAATTAGTTTTGGCAGGTTAGGTATATCTTTTATCAGGTATTTTTGTTTTTCAATGTAACAATTACTTAGTTTTTAGTATTGCAGTGTTTTAAAATAACAATCTAAGTTATAAGTACCTTTAGCACATACATTCATTAATTCCTCCTTTTATAAAAACTCACGTAAAGCTAATAAAGATAAAGGAATATTATAATCTATAATTTACAGGCCAAACAATATACATTATTATAAATAATACATTTATCATTTAAAAATAATGTCTAGCGTTCACTCTTTTCACTTTCAGGAAGTTTTGTAGAACTTTAAATTCATAATCATCGATGGTTACATTTTAATGTCGTTAATTTAGATTTGTTTCATTCGTTAGACAAATAAATATATAATATTATTTTGTACCGTTACCACTTATTGTAAGCATACAATGAGACGCACTACGGCTTGTATCTATTATAAAGACAGACTTTAATTCATACCCGTTATGCGAACACAGTGATCAACCATTTTCCATTCAAGTATTTCTAATTTTGTAACGTAATATACATCCTTGATAAATCAACCTGTGCGTAAGGCACTGCTATCTTACACAACTCAGTGCGGTTCGTTAATATTAATACTAGGTACGAGTATAAAAGACTTTCAATTTGGATGTGGTTACACCGCAATTTAATGCAATATTGTGTGGTAAATTAATAAAAATTGCTCCAAAATCAATTTCTGCAAATGTGAATGATATTTAAAGTTGATTATTAATATTGTTTAATAAAATAGATTTAAAGATTCACTAGTAAGACCTTATTTCAATTTTTAGCCTTCTGAAATGTTAATGTAAAGCGAAAAATATTGTAGAAAATAATATATAGAGAAAATCTTACTTTTGTGTAAATTAATTTTCAAACAGCAATTTTGTTGAACATAAATAATTTTTTTTTGCATACACTTACGAAATTTTACACCCACATTTAGAAACTTACATAAATAAAGTGAAAATAGCAAAGTTCCAAAATTGAAACCGATAAAACAATTATTGATTTCCTCTATCTAAAAATATTTGCCGTAGTTTCCATTGAATCAGCTCAGAAACAGGGGCGATTTTAAAAATTCTTTCACCTACTTTAAAATTGTAAACTAGAATCTATAATTTAAGTGGCCATCTAGCTCTCTGTACGATTGTGTAACACGACACATTACTTATTACCGCTGTAGTGCAGCGCTTTAAATCACTGAATTGCAACCTACCCCGTTATGTTGGTGATTCGCCAGAAAGCCATTGTTGGATAGCGGTGGGCCAAGACCGCTGTGCTAAATCGCACATTCATTGTCTTCTGTTGATCCTCACATTTACAGAGAAAAGCCATTGGATTCGTAAACTTTTGTTTGCGTTGCGTTTACAATGTTGTTCGTGTTATACGTTAACAAGATATTTATGGTTGGACTGGTGATTTTATTATAATACATAGACAAGTGGATAATAAAGTCTTGTCTTGGTAAATATTATGTTTGTATTTATTCAAGACAGCGTTATCAAACCTCATCTAAATCATATTTGATTAATTTTGCATTCCATACTTTTAATATACTAGCTGTTCTCCCGCGACTTCGCATGTGTATATTATAGCCAATGTCAACCCCGTACTAAGGCGAAAGAATTTTCAAAATCGGTCTAGTACTTTCAGTGCCTATTCGATGCAAACAAACAAATAATGTAAACAAACAAACAAACAAATAGTGGTTATTGCTGTAATTGATTCTCTCCGATGCATCATATGGTCGTATAAATATATCTGTTTCGGTATAATTTTACTTAACATAGAGTATTTCTTATTAATTCAGTGAAAGATTATGTACACTTATATTTTTTTTTTTTTATAAAATGGAGGGCAAATGACTGCGCTCCATCTGATGGTTAGCGGAGGCGCAGTCCAAACGCGAGGACAAAACAGTACGTAGGTACTGCACTAGCCAACCTCAGTTTGCCGACCTGCAAGGTGCTTCTTCACGCCCCGTACATACATAAAAAAAAACTTCTATATGACTATGAATTTAGTAAAGATTATCTAGACTATCGCAATATGAACCAGATTTTATGTTTCTACTTAAAAAAAATCTATAATCTCCACATATTTTAAACGAAGACTTTATAAGTAAGCACGATTCCCTAGCAAATAATGAAAACATCATACAAATTACGATTTATAAGAAAACCAAAGGCCTTATACGAGCTCATATTATTTGTATTGAGTATTGAGACGTAACAACTCACTTGAATGCTTATAAGCAATAACTATAACGATTTCATTCAAGACTAGATGCGCAGGAGTCGAATGCGAAACCCGACACGACCGGGACGGCTGCATTTTACGCGATCGTGACGGCGAAACAGACAATGGCCGATTACGTATTTGCTCTACGACATCGCGGTAGCTCGGTGTGTGGCGCTATTAAGGCTTCTTCTGTTTTGATTTCGCAAATAGCAATTGTAATCTTTGCGTAATTTAAACTAGTTTTAAAGATTAGATACCTTAAACTTTAGCGAAAGTAACGAGAACTTGGTAAGTTTTACGGCTTCATTAGTCTCTGGTTGCTGAATTGGTTGGTTTATTAGCTAATTGTTATTGAATCAAATCCTGCCAAATAAAAGATAGGGTTGAAATTCCTATTAGGTATTTGGCAAATATTATATACATTGACTAGTTTCTGCTAGCTACGCACGCAAGGTCCTATATTACACAAATAATCCTTCCTCTTGAATCGGTCTATATATTGATGAAAAATCTATTATTAAGTTGTCTAGTTTAAAAGATCTCAACGTACGTAGTTTAAAGATCTCAACGTACAGACAACGGGAAGCTTCTTTGTTTTATATTGAATAAAACATTAATTCCTAAATCACTCAGATGTGAAAAAAATTTAACAAGATATTTTTAGTTGAATAGTAAAGCTATCATATAATCTTTGTGTTTTTTTTTACAACCTCCGTAGCCTAGTGGTTCGCACGCCGGCTTCTAGGTGTCTCCATCTCTGAGGTCCTGGGTTAGATTCCCGGTCAGGTCAAAGTAGAAAATGAACTTTTTTATTTTGTTTCGGGTCTGGGTATTGTGGTACCTTCGTTGTCTCAGATAGGTACTCCGTAATACGGGAGCTTTAGCTACTCATCTTGGAATGTGAACAATGTACGTGATGTTGTTTAATATTTGATAATAATTTAAGTTCGAAAAATGATACTATTATAAAACAAAAATGAATTTATTATTGAGGTTATATAAAGCTCATTAATGTCTATAATTTTCCATGGAGTCCTGTAAATAATCTAAAGATTATTTAACATTAGAAGTCCCGCTAAAGATAATTATTATTGTGTAATAAAACAAAATGCAGTATTCAAACGAACGGTAGTTTAATGTTCCTAAAGAAAATATTTGTTCGTATAACTAAGCGAGTTCCGTGGTACAGAAATTCAAAACTCACGTTGAGTTGGTTTTCTTTTCGTAGAATGTTATTGGACCGTACCTATTAGTAATATGATTATTTTTCTACGACTGTTTGTCTTTAACAGATGAACATTCCAATCTGTGAGTTAATAGTTGATTTTTTTTATTATCTTTTCTTACGTGTACATATTCGAAGAAAGCAAACTTACCTCTGTTAACCGCTGCAGCTTTTAGACTGCCCACGACTGTCCCAATTCTCACGTCCTCTCTGACTCTAAAGTTATATCTTGGTTTATCGAAGAGTGCAGATCCAATTCCAGCAGGCATCACGGTAACATGTACAGTAGCTCCTTCTGGTGCAGACATTCCTCCCCCATCAGTTGCTGATATCTCGAGATCAAATTTCGACTTCGCCTGCACAAGCGATGGCTTCGTGACCAATATTTCTCCAGTGCTTCTATCGATTCTGAATATATCATTATCATTCCCGTTCACAATTCTGTAGGTCACCGTGCCGAATTTTCCAGAATCAGCATCGGTAGCCGACACGGATACTATAGGTTCGGTCGATGAAATCCGTCCCTCCTTCAAAGATACCTTGTAGTCCTTAACAGTGAAGGCAGGTACGTTGTCATTTATATCAAGCAGTTGGATCTTCACCATGGCGGTCGTGGACAGGCCCCCTGCGAATAAATAAATAATTGGTCCCATGATTGTTTGTGTATTGTTGTAATGCAATGTTTAATTGACAGCAACTTGATTTATACCGATGTCAAATGCATACACCGCACGAAGTACGCGATAATAAAATAATTGTTATGTTATGCATTTAAATATTGTACCGATGACGGTACTTTGACGTTAATTACACTTGAACTCGATGCAATACCATTTTATAACTCATCAATATGATTTAAAATAAATATGATAATAATTTTAAATGTTATTCTTTTGTTTTTTGAAATAAAAACTAACACCAGAAGCGAAACGTTTAACGATAAAACGGTATCTTGATCCATATAATAAACTGGTAATCATAACAGGCTTTCAAATGATATAAAGCGCTTGTTATGTCAACAGAGTAACTGGACTTTCGTTAAATTAGGGGAAAATTAAGATCATAAATTTTAATTATGGTAACCGTAGAAATTATACGGTTATGCTATTAAAAAATATTGATTAAGCAATATTTATGATACTATACGGCCGTTTTGTTTGTTTGTTTTGCAAAAAAACAAATGTGAATATATTTTTTTAATATAAAAAAGTATAGGTAAAGACATATTTTTATTGATCGTTAATTCGTATAGATAAAGAGATCATAGAAAGTATATTTAAAGAAATTTCCGATATGTGATTGCTTATTCCTGTTTGCCCATACTTTTCTTTTTAATTCAAAAACCGAATTCCCGAGTAAGAATCGTCGGCGGAACAAAGTTACCAAGTCGGAGCGTGATAAAAACGAACACAGTAATAGTTGGCCCTCCTCGGCAAATAAATCAGCCCCGGCTGGTGCCAACGGCCTGTGGACATTTTCGGAATTTATTTTCGGGACCAGCTTTCGCTTAACTCGGTTTGGTACGATACATTCACAGGTGATTTCTTGGGTATGTTCTCTTAAAAAAATACATTTAAAGTCTAAAAAAACAATCTATGAGTTTTTATTATAAGATTCATACGAAGTGCAATATTTATTACAATAACGAAAGCTGACCTCGTTTGATTTAATACCAGTCATCTTTTAATGGGTGAATCTGCATATTCCTTTTCAAAAACATGTAATATATTCTCCTAATGTAAAACTACAAATGCTTTCTGAAATAACCGTAATAAATTTTAAAGAGCAATATTGGTAAACGTCAATTAGGTTTACTAACCTCTATCAGTAGCAATGACAGGAAACTCGAATTCACTATAAGTCTCGTGGTCTAATGAAGAGGAGATGCATAGCTCTCCAGAATCTGGCTTGATGGAGAATTGAGGACGTCCAAAATTGTCTGCCAAGGTGTAGTTGACGATTGCGTTGACACCACAGTCAGGGTCTATCGCTGACATCTGTGAAAGAAAACAATTGGTCAGTTAATTCTTTTTACTTTTAGAAGCCAAATAATAAACTTTACTTAAAATAACCAAATGGTGGTTAATAAAAACGCGAAAATCATGATGCAGCAAGCACCTGGCGTATCATGAGTGAAATAGAAATTGTATAGTATGTCTATTGTTGCAGAACTGGAAAGGTCTTCCATCAATTCGCCAGCAACAGATCTAGCGTTAGTTAATACCCTACAACTAATTGCCAAGCCGGTAAGCGAGATAGGCATCGTAATTAATTAACGTATTTAATTCAACGTGAATTGATTTGCAGGCTGTGAGGTCTTATGAACGGAATATTTATGGTATTTTATGAGAACGCTACACCGCCAATGCGCTGTAATAATGCATTTTATGAAGGACACATACTTTACATTTATAAAACCTCCGATAATGAAAGCTTGAATTTAGAGTGACTGTAACATAAATACATAAAATCCAAACGCCAGTTTTAAGACAAGAAACTTAAATGAAAGGAAAACTTTTTGATAACAAGTTTAATAGAAAAATTCAGATATTATACCAGCCCAATATAAAATTGATAAAATATAATAATTCACATATTTTAGAGAACAGTAAAAAAACAATAACATATCAATTAACGAACCATATTTAACGTTTCAATACTGAAGATCTGAATGCCAAAAGGGAATAACCGGCTCAAATTGGGTCGGTAGGTGTTAAGTGGTCCAAAAAAGAGAATCCATACAACAAGATCGATAATTAGCTTGAAATAATTTTTTTCTCTTTATCTGCAGTATATTACGTACGTGACAACGGCGCTTGATTAATTGCATCGGCGTCCAAAGCAAAGATAAATGGTGGAGCTCCGGGCGTGGATAATAAAAGTAAACAATTTGCAACTTAGATTTCTAGTTGGTACGATTTGTATTACTTTGGTGCACATTAATACTGCATAGTGTTAGTTTTAGTAATATCTTTTGTAATTTTATCCTTGTCTCATTTTTAAAGTTTGACAATGGATGATAAGAATGGGTTTTGATACTGTCATCGAAACAAAGCTATAATTGAAGGTGATTAAGGTTTTATAATTAGTTCTTATAACGGCCTAAGTGGTCGGATATTCAATAAATACTGTTTTTATAAAGAGCTACCCATGAATTTTCGGTTGAGTGGAAACGATTTGCGAAATTTTGTGAGCAATAAAACTTGGGAGCACTTCTGAAGCAGCCTATAACGTACAAAGGTTGCATTTACGAAAATTGGTGTACCATCATTGACAGTACTCACGCAATTGCAATTCCGAGAAACACATTTGTTGAAACAATGCCAGAATCTGATCTCGGCTTACTTTATTATTATTGGAGGTCCGTTGCAGACTCTCTGATTGATGTCCGATCGGCGTAACTAACTCGCATGCAAACCCCGGGAACCTGGTTGTCCCGCCACTGTCCTTATTTAAACCGGATTTAAAAGAACTCTTCTGTTGCGACGATCTCGTATTATAGTTTTTAATGAAGAGATTTTTGATACGCGTTTAGCATTCGTTTTGGAGCCACACACGAAGTGATCAAATGGAATTAGGTTAATGATTACAGATTTGTTTATTACGCTTAATCTCATCTGAAAGATATAATTTACTATATGGTAATTTTGAATTGATTACATCGAAGAGTTCACAATTAAAAAAAAGCTAAAATGCCTATGACATATTTTTATTTTTATTTTAAGTATTATAAACAGCTAAAGATAATCCAGAACGCGAGTGAATCAGTCGATATTGAGGTACTTAACTTGTTTTTTATTTAAATTTTAAAGCGGGTTGACACAAGTTATATCGGCTACCGCAGTATAAAAGATAAGAGCGGTCACAATGAGATTTATTGCATACTCTCACTAAGACAGAGGATACTTAAAAAGACTTTATAAGAGTGTTACTTTTAAACTGTCTTGCACATCTCAATTAGCGACATTCAAACGGGGCGGCTGATATTTTTAAATGCATGACGATTGGTTGGCCGTTGGCTGCCACGAGATTCAGCCGCGTGATAATTTCTCAGATTGTGCCCGGTAAGAGAAATTAATGCTTCATTTTTGTTCCGGCCGATTCTATCCAAAGATAGCCGCTTTACAAAGCTGCGCCGTAAGTTCAATACAATGTTCGACACTAAATAAGTTTTCACGACTTTTGACATCGTCCTTACAGAAGCTGTCTGTTTCCCTGCAGACATGACACAACCCGTAGGAGCTTACACTATTTCCCAGGCATAACCGGCGTCAGTTTCAAGTTATTTAAATTCAAGGGAACGCATTCAAGTTGGGCTCATCTAAATAAAGCGAACAGCTGCCTTGTTATTCGTAACAAAAAGAAATAAATAAATGATTTGTAACTAAAGGATTCTTACTCAGTTCGGTCGTTGCTAAGGGACATTGTAATTCAAACTGATTGGCACACAATAATAGTATCAAACATAAGCCATTTAAAAATTGTTTGCGTTAAAAGGAAAAAGGTAAACTTTGGACAGTGGCATAAAGAGAAAATAAACTTGTGAACGGACAATACCAGGTCCAAGGCAACGCAGAGAAGGATTTGTAATGCCATTAGTTGAACATATCTGTGGCAACACATTATGTGCCTTGTAACAATGGGGACAAAGTGGCTATTCAAGAAGTTATAGATAATTATAAGATTGTTTGAATTGCGATCATCGTTTTCTTTTAGTGTTTTAATTTGAATGTTTCTATTTAGGATTTCTTTTTTATTGTTGCAGTACATAAGATTAATTCTTATCAGACAAATATGAATTCAATCACCCCTCGAGTATTAATTTGCGGATATAGATATAAAAACAGTTGTTATGAAGTTTAGAAATGTTTTATCGGTGTCATAATTTTAGTAGAATCTCTCTCTGAATATTTGGGATACACAAATACAAGATTTTTTAAATAGGCCATCAGACGAAATGAAAACGAATCTCTCGTTATAGATAAGATTTATTTTTCAACAGCGAAACAAGGCAAAGGCGTCGCTGAGATAGTATTTAAAAAAAATAAACCATACCAAACTACAAGGAGCTCGTCTCATCGTATTTCTTTAATTGAACGTACATCGTCTGGGGCCAAGGGCTGACCTTTGCATTCTTGCTTTTGTTCATTAAACACGTCATTGCCGTCGCCAATTTATTTAGCACATTCGTTTAAGTATTAAAAAGGAATAATTTGAATTTAATCCTCTTTTGTTCTTTGCAAGATGTATCAATATTGTACTCGGGAGTATTTTAATGTCATTCCTTTATAAGCTTATCTTGATTGTTACAGGTTTTTTTTAATAAATCCTTTAAATAGGTTTAATTAAATTCCTTCTTTAAGACCTGAATAGTCTAGAAGCATTTTTAGTATTAGATGTATCAATTTATGTTTGATTGGCGGTAATAAACTACAAACTTTTGTCTGCGACTTTGTGGTATAGTTACATTCAATAATGAACTCCCATAAAAACTTTCGTCACATATTCCAACCACTTTAATCGCATTCTTCGTTGTAAAGGTAACATGTGTCCTATCCCGAGATCTCAATCTCTGTACTAAGTTTTTTACAGACAGACAGAGCTATTTTTTGATTTCTTTATTGAAGAAATAATGGCTGTATTATTAAAGCACTATGTTGTATTATTGCTATGCGTTGTTTTCACGGCCATCTTTGAAATCATTAAAAATTTCAATGTCATAGCTTTCGTCGTGGCCATTGAAAATCGCCCACACTGTACACGATTTGTAACTCACTATAGTATTTCAATTCCTGTGAGCACCTTCCCTGTCTCGGGTGCTGTACCACAGTGCAGGTACAACACAAACGCATACATATTTGCGGAAGGATATACGATACGCTGTGGTTGATGTACGAACAGCGAGACAAACTTATAATGTACACAATGGGGGAGCCACTATCGCTTCAACATTATTTATTAGAGTTCAAACTTCTTCGTCGTTTGTATGTAATAAGTTAGTTTCATTTATCGCCGCAGCACAATTATGTTTGTATAATATACTATGTGGTCGGCCTTTGTAAGGGAATTGACTGAGCTTTTATTAAAATTGAATTACGTAGACGTTAGATAGTCGGTTAGTCGTTTTTTAATGTTCAAGGTATGTAATTACAAGCATTAACATGTTAATCTGAGTGGAATGTGGGGAGAAATTTAATAATCGTGAAAAATTGTCCGCCTATCTCATGGTCTAAGTTTGTATGAGCAAAAGGAAATTGTATCGGGTCTTGAAAACATGTTTTGCTATTTTAAAGAATGTTGCGTCCATAAAATTTTATGGTTTCCTCAAAGTAGGTGTCGCCTTATTATCGCTTTTGTTTTACTTTTATTTTCTATATTTGTGTTAGGTTTTTTGATATGGCTGCGTGGTTTGTATTTCGTTGCCAATTCTTTTTTAACTTTACGTTTTATACGGAAACATTAACTCATATATATAACAATTATGTATTTATAGAATTAAATTTATTTTCTTATACAAGAAACAGAATAAGAACTCCGATGTTTCAAGAATCATATTTGAATAAACCAATGATTTCTTCTATTTAATTATTAAATAGATGTATGAGCAAATCATTTTGTTGAGATTATTTTCTAGCACTGATGACTGTTATCTAATGTCAAGTATAATTTTAAAAGATACATCGAACTTTACCAAAATTTTCCGCAAACATTTTTATACGCACACTGACTACATCAGAATTGGCAATTTCATTTATATAAATGCTCCTTCAGGCCTTACTGATAAGGTTGATTTCTACAGCAACATTTCAGATTGGGTATCTATTTCAATAAGTCGTTACCGTTTGGATATATATAATTATTTTTTATTCGTTGTTGTAATGGTGTGGCGACCCGCAGTGATACTGTTAAGACGACTCACTCGTATCTTATGCGAAATGGAAAAAAAAAACAAAATGGCCACGTTTTCTGATAGTTTCTGTGTGAATATTACGACTTTTACAACCGATCGTTCGATGCGGATGAGCTTTTGATTGTTATTCGATGTCTTTTATGATCCAGATAACAAACAGTTGCTTGTGATAAAACATTTTAAATACAAAATAAATATAGCAGGTGACATTTAAAATGAGGTGTGTACCGATAATCTCACTGGTTCAAGCGAATGTTTTAAAAAGGTTTTCAAGGTTTTGTTCCCAGGTTTGATCCCCGATCGGGTGTAGAACTAAATTAGGTAATCGATTTCCGTTATTTTATATTTACAAGGACCTACTGACATTACCATAAGTTGCTGACATTTCCAGGTCGAAAAGTTGCGAAACTTACGTATGAAATATGATTTTCCCAGGACTGCAATTCTCTGATCGTCAATAAATGTATTTAATGAAGATCGAATTACGTAGTGATTTGTTATAACGGTTCGCGGAACCGCCCTGCACGAAAATTGCCCGTGTAATGAGTATCAGCGCGGTGGGACCCACACATACCATCTACTAATTGACACTAGGCTTCATTTCTTAAATTACAGAGTTGTGTGGCACAAGCCATAAATATCAGCGATTTGACCTAACAGGAGTGACGAATTTTCCAAGCACTTGTTACTCTTTGCCACTACAGTATGTATTTTCATAAATTTTCAGGCAATC